TCAGGAGAGACTGTAGAATTGCCTTCGTCAGGTTCGCGCACGATAATTTAATTTTCACACTGCATTCGGTCAAAATAACTATAAAAACTGTTTAAAAAAGACAAGGACTTAGATGCTCTTTATTTAAACATCAATGTTATACGTCAGCAAAAACAAAAACACCATATTTCCACATCAAAGCTCTGCTGCAAACTATGGTGTTCTTGCGCTTTAGGTTTTAACCTGCATTCTAAACCCTAACCAATTCTTAGTATAAAAAGCATCATTTTATGCCTGTCATGAAAAAAAGCTGGATGAATTTTCTGAGAAGCTCATCACGAGTCATTCATTTGAGACGATGAACTCCTTGGGTTACTGTGTTCAATTTGATTCTGAAAAAAAGAAACAAAAATAGACTTTATTTCAGTCGCTTAGTTTATTAATTTGCACACTTTTCTGCATTATTACAGATGCTAAACTGGAAAAACAGACAAACAACAAACGAAGAGATATTCAAGGACTTCGTGGAGTTGCAATCATCTACGTTTTTGCCTTTCACCTCTTCCCCGACAAATTTTCTTTTGGCTTTCTTGGTGTCGATATTTTTTTTGTCATATCTGGTTACCTGATCACTATGATTCTGCTGAGAGAACGACCTTCCTCTCTGGAGCATTTCATAATTTTTTACAAAAAACGAATTAAGCGAATATTTCCTGCTTACCACTTGATGCTTTTTTTGTTCGTCTTTTGCGGTTGGCAACTCTTGACGTCAACAGATTACTTCACACTGAGAAAAGACGCAATATGGGCTGCTTGCTTTGCCACGAACATAAATAAACACTGGAAGAATCTGGACTACTTTGCTGGAGTAGTTTTTTTGCCAATTAAGAATTTTGTAATTACAAAACTGTTGTTCTGCAACATTTGCTTGGTAAAAAGCATTAATAAAATTTTATTTAGATAACAAGCTATGATTTTTTACTGCACACTTGGTCCCTCGCAGTCGAGATCCAGTTTTACATCGTTGCACCAATATTGGTATTTACGTTATCTCTTCCATTCGTAGGAAAGCCCTTATGGTATTCCGTTTTTATATTTTCTGCATACTATAACGCAACATCTTTTGGTCCCGTCCAATTCTCTTCTCTCCAAAGTCGAATGTGGCAGTTTATGTGTGGAGCAGTCGCTCATCTCCTTCCACGGGGTGTGTACTTTGAAAAATTTCGCACACATCAGCTATTTTAAAGCAGTTATTGCAACTAGAATGACTCTGTGACTACTAA